CCGTGTTCCGTGAATGTATCAAAACCAATCGCCAATCACAGAAAAAAAAACGGTCTTTAAAACTTGGTCTTGATTTGATGTCAAGACCACTCAAGTATTAAGCCCTACTTGAACTGGTACAACTTCGGACTTTGTTCCAACACCGGTCCCACCACCCAGTCCTTGCCATATGGTTAACTTTCATTCATACACACATGTCTGCTCCCATGTTGTAACACATTTCGTAATCGAATAATGTGAAGCATTCCTTTAAATCATTTTCCATACTTTATCATTCCATTTAACGTTACCGTAAGCCTTACAAAACCGCGTGCGACAATTCCAAAGAGAATTATATGCGTGAAAACATACATAAATCAGAAATGGATCTTTAAACATAAAAAACGGCCCGAGTATCAAACAAAACCAATGAACGAACGAAATTATCAGCCAAGATCAATGCGACATACCTTATAATACTGATCACCATTTCGATAGAAACGTATTCGCTTCGCTTTTGCTGATCGGGTCACACATCGGAATGGTTTTGGTGTACTTGTGACATCAGACGGATTGGCCACATCAATTCGACTCTCGGTCGGTGACGTATTGGAAGAGCCATGGCTACAAAAACGAAAGGGTTTGACAGCCGTCAAACGTAAGAATCAGGTACAAATTAGGAAAAAGAGCCGTATTGAGGAGCAAACTAGTATCCGAATAATATTATAACACGTTTCAAGGACAGGCTCGCCTGCTTCCTATCCTCGGTTTAGAACTTGGGTTAGATGACTAAACTTCAGAACAGGTTAGAAGCTCGGACAAAAAAAAGGCCCAAACCAACAAGAAAATCAAATGGATAACAACCTCCCACGCGTCAAACATGGAAAAATTTTTTCTATTTCACACGCTGAGCCAACAGTTATGTGATTCCCTGGGAAAAATCAAGCCAAACCAATTACAGCCGTCAACGCCAGTTCCTACTAGGCCCACCGGTATGACACGAATTGTCACAATTCTCCTTCATTTCATCAAATTCGAATCTAGCCAACCTGTCACTACTGTTTTGAAAATTTATGAGCCCGATGCAGTTTTCTAAAGTAACGAAAGAAGACAAAATCAAAGCACATGTATTCACCTTTCCGCGACAATCGACGATGTCATCGAAGCTGTTTGCAAGTGATCACCCTCCGACCGTACGTCAAAGGTTGAAGCTCGCGGTGTCGTCAAGTCGTCGTCTATATACCGCGACTGACGGGCTGCTGAACCGATAAGAATTACCAAAGAAACAAAATATTTGAACAAAATAGCAAAATTGGAAGAAGACGGAGCGTTTAATGATCACAGACACATAACAAGAATGTCCAAAAAATTTTTCAAATAGACGTTTACGGAGAAACTGATACAGCTAGTCATAATGGCACCTATCATCCATGATAGATGATGAACACTTTATAACTTTAGAAACTTTTCAAGACACAAATACATTTTTGAGAAAACGAATAAACAACGAAATCCTAATAAAGTATTGACCTTCCATGTTTCGAAACGAGTTCAAAAGTATGATCCGATATTGACTTCACCACCGAATACAGCAATTGTAGAATCAAATAAACATACGCCGATGTCGCAAGGTTCGTGACTCCATTTAAAAGGAACAAATGTCCAAAGCTAACGTATAGAGAGCTGGTAGGCCAGTCTATGATGGCTACTTTTCGATCACATAACCATTCACGCTTCATGTCCTGTTGGAAAACGAGTTTAACCATACTGTTCTATTGAAAAAATGACCATTCTACGTGGTGCTTCGCTCAGAAAGGTACCAAAGATGTGTGAGTATGCCTAATTTGCTCGATGAGTTTAAGAGAGCGAAGTTCGTGAAGCGATTATATCATCCAAGAGAAATGATGTCCGTAAAGTGGCATTACATCTAAGTAACTGATTCCAGTCGAAGTATACGTGAAGGAAACCTGCTCGCAATGAGCATATTGATCTCGACCATCCAAATTGAACTTCCCTCAGAGACCATCGCTCAAACAGGATGGACAACAACATAGAAAACAGGTGCCGATAAGCAGCCTGAACTTTGCAAGACTGACTGAAGAAATTAACGCGAGGCATCTAACCTGCTCTCTTCTTGCGGACGGGATGGCCTGGCTTACCGGACCCCATCGGGCGACCATGGGACTACAAGTCACGTAAGGGTTTGTCGAAGATCTTCGCTGAGTAACATAACCGAAGGCCGAATTCACGCCCACCCAAAACGACCCCGACGTACCACGAATCCGGTCCTGCTCGATCTCTTGGATTCAGTACCTTCTTGTATTCGGTGATGTGATGTGAAGCACTCGGATCCAATGATTCCTTTCATCCCTGAGTAGAGTATCGTAATTTTCCTACTCGTGGAACGGCCAACATTCCGGGTAAGTTTGTTGGAACAGTCGAACCCTCCATATTTCATATGGAAATCGTTACATGTAGGCGTCTCTGTGTGCTGACTACGACATGTATACAAGCCTTTTTGCAATGAATATCGATGAGGTTTGGTTATGACATTCCCAATAGCGCCTATAGTGATGAAATCCGTTGTATTGAAACAAAAGGAAAAGCACATTTTAGAGACATCCGATAAGTCTGACAAAAAAGAAAGAAGAGTTGCAAGAACAAGATAATATAAAGGAACAAGGAACAGTATAACGTTTCATCCAACTCACCCAAGCCAGGCTCTCCAGCCAAAAAATTCGAATACGACAACCGAAACTTTAGCAGATAAGCGTGTAACGACAACCGGAAGCAGCTGTTTAGGGCGCAAATGACCGGAAACCAGTTTGCAAAGGGCGAAACCTTTATAACGTTCGTACAGCCTTGACGGCAATTGAGCAACCGGACACCATTGTTACTTCCATAAATTTTAGCTGGCTATCCCGAGGGTAGCTATTCTGCGATACTCGAGTAAAAACCGAGTTAATTCAGTTGAGAAGTGTTCAAATGAAGCTAAAACCATCAACAGCAGGAAAAAAGATCCAGGGCCCAGATATCGAGCAGGGGTGGAACAAAAGGCACGCACAGCTGCCTCCGTGTAAACGAATGTTCTTGTGAGTGAATCTGACTGTACAGGAAAACGTTCTCTACTGTATCCCACGCAAAAAATCTGTGCCAGACAATTATTTGCTGATGCATTACGCACTCCAGAGACCATTAGACGTACATCGGCGAAACATGTTTTATGAACCATTGCCCTCACAAACTACACCTCACAACACAACACGACTTTCATTGAACACTAAAGCCTTTATGAACAAGGTGTCCCTGATCAAGGAAATGGGTGAATACTCGTGAAATCAAGCACATTGACAATTTTCTGGCTTTACGAAGACCTAAACAACACCGCTATTTTACCAGAAATTTGTGTTAGCATTACGAAAGAAAATCATTAATCTCTTCGGGATGTCCCCTCCGTTCTATTCTTGCCATAAGCACGAGGGTACCTAAATGTTCATGCGGTTCGTATGGTTTTGATATTTTGACCGCCAGAAACAGTACGATCTTCGAATTGTCGACTTGCGTCCCACTGAACACTTTACAATGCAGAAGAATTCCAATGGTAAAAGTTCTGATTGGCATAGCGCCACGCGATTCTGCCAACCTTGGCACTGGGCGATTCGATGATGGAAATGCTAAGCGGCAATTCTCGTCACTGAGCCACCACAACATGAAAAGTAAGTAATCAAAAAATACGAAAACGAATAACTAGACGCTTGAAGAGATGAAACAGAGCAAACGCACGAAGGCCGAGAACTAGAGGAATGGAAAAGGGATTCGAAAACAAAACCCATCGAGGAAAAGTACGTTTATGCATAGCTAAGCAGTCATACATGTGCCACTCTTCTTAAACACGTGATGGAATCGATCCGCTCTTGACTTGAGGATACAAAATCAAATCTAGAAGCATAAGTTGGGAATTCATACCAACCACAAAGGGAGTCCTTTGGAAAAAAGGGAGAAAAAAAGCAACCCACAAAACCTAAGAACGGCTTCCGTAGGTTACTTTTCTAGAGATAGAGAAGGGAGAGATAAAAATCTGTAAAATATCAGTGAAACAATCAGACGGCCACCCGAAAAGACACAGTCGACAAGAACTACTTACCATGTTCGAGTCATTCATCATAGGCCCGAAGAGAAAGGAGAGTAAAGTAAGTAGTTCAGTAGAGTAGAAGTTTTCACATTCTTAATTTAAATCCAAACTCCAAGACGTGCCAAAACACTTCATAACCGAAAAATCAGTTTTTGTAAGTTTGGCGCCTCAGTATAAACAGAGAGCTATGAATCTCGAGATAGGCTTGAGTAATCTGTCAAAATGCTCACATTTAACACTTTACGGCTGACAAGGACGATAGTACTTGAGTATGCTCCAGGGAAAACGAATAAATTCAATGAAATAAAAGCTTTTGTTGAAAGTGAAGAACGAGGTTCTTCTAACAATTGTAAGCGTAAGAAACAAAAGCGGCCAGAATACTACTTATCGATTCACCAAATAAGAATCGAAAGCGTGCATTTCGGCATCCAGCAGCTGCACTTTTCATTCTCAAAAAAATTCCGATGTCCTGGGAAAAAGTAGAGAACCAATGCGTACCATGCTACACTAAACCTCGCTTTTCGTCACTTCAGCTCTATTATGTCATCATTATTACTGAACAATAGAATCGAAGAACTGCCTGAACTGCGAAAACTGTATTTAGTTAGATGCAGATTCAAAGCAATTATACGGCGACATAAAAGGATAATATTAATGGCTTGGGAGATGTAAACGACCGATAAACGCAGACGATAGCTTGAGAACTGGGAAAAAAGGCAAGGAATTCTTCAGCACCACTAGTTGTAAAGAATGGGCTGTCCATGATAGAGGGAAAACCTTATGCTCTCCTCCTTACACTGACGGACAAGCAGCACTGCTTTCTCTCGCAGTGCTGCTTGTCCTATACCAACCACTTGTATCAGGGTCAACATACGTTTCAACTGGCATGCTCTCAAAACAAATCCTGCCACGAACCCGCAAAAACGGACGCAAAAATCACTAGGCGCTAAAATGACCTGATTTACTAAACTTCAGCCCGAATAAAGAATTACTTTGCAGAAAAAGGTATCATTGAACTAGATTCAGTGTAAGGGCTATAACCCCCGAGATCAATAATGAAGCACGGAGAGTCGACGAAACATCCCTCGTTTGTTTGTCGTAATTGATTTTTCCGTTTTTCACCTGCCTCAAATGGAGGAATACCCCCGAACGTGCATATTACAATCCTTTTGATGAGTCCCGGATTCCAAATAAATCAGATTTCGGCTCGATTCTGTCCGCGCACACTTTTTTGCCAAACCGAGCCATAACAATGAAGAATCGAAGCCTCGAAAACCAACTATCAATTAGCATCCCATCGCCTCTAATAGGTCTTGGAAGAATGACTCACGCCCTCAAGACGCCTATGTGTGTTCATTGTCCAGCGAGGAGATTTCCATGGGAAAGAGGGAAAACGGCATTCAAGAAAAGGTCTAGCTTGACNGCAGATGTCAACAGCACGTGGGACTGCGCTCNAGCGAGGAGATTTCCATGGGAAAGAGGGAAAACGGCATTCAAGGAAAGGTCTAGCTTGACTTTCTTCAATAAGTTTACCTAGTTGCAGGGATGTGCAAGCAGATTGTGAACTGTGTGGCCATATAAGGTGAGGAAATTGAAGTGGGATACGCTTGCTCGAAAACGAGTCATAAATCTACCATTTGCAGATGTAGCCGCTCAACTAATTAAAGGATATCGGTTTAGTTCGTTTTTATTTTGTGGTAAAGAGGAAAATTGGATGCAAAATGAAAAGCGAAAATGCAAACCCAATATAATTTCAGCCTAGCGGATGGCGCTGAATGAAAACAGAGAAATGACTGAAAACTGCTAACTGGTATTGAAAACATCAAAGACACAGCTAATCTATTCTCAGCACAAGTATTCCTTCGTGAAGAAAATTCCTCTGCCTTCAAAGGGATGACCCTATCTAGGAAGTTTTGGAAAATATAAATTCGTCAAGTTAGGAGAAATCTGATTTCAACCAGCAATAACCAAGATAGCTATAACTAAGACTGAGAGCCGAGAGAAAGCAGGACCGAAAGTCCATCAGCAATCCGCCATACACAGCTCTATTAGGACCTTGGTCTGGCTCAACTCATTCGGCTCAAAATTGAGCGATCCATCAACGATGGAGGAAATAAAGTGAGATGGCTTCTCTCGACTGGCTGACGACGCAGTATGCTTGATAGCAGACCTGCGAAGTGCTGTATAATACTTTCACACCGAGGAGATTCGAGTAATATCTAAGTATTTGTGAAAGGCGAAGCTGTCAGCAGTAAAGAGTTTCCATTACAAAAAACCTATTCGACATCGATCACCTACTTTAAGATGAATGCTCACATTCCGGAAAAGATGGGCATGAACAACATTAAAATAACAGATGGAGCTCTTAATATGTAATAAGAAAGAACAGTATTGAACCCGCAGATGTCAACAGCACGTGGGACTGCGCTCCGCTTGCTGTCCATCCAGTCACGTAACTGCTCGTCACGAACGACCAGACGCTGCAACAACGGAACAAACTTCGTCGGGACGCAATTCTCAGTAAACACCTCCTTTTCACATTTCAGTCTGTATTCAACTTCACAACTGTGTACCTCTACTTTAGCTAAGAGTTGAAGAAAATCAAGTGTCGGATAAACAGGTAGGTAAGGCAACGCGGAGTGACTACATAACCTAGACAAACACCGGTAGCATTTTTAAACAAAGTAGAAAAAAAAANAAAAAAAAAGCTGAAACCAGTGATGACGACCACAGATTCTGGACCGCCGTTAAGCACGACAAACACGTGGCATGTAGCTACAGCTAACAGACTCAGTCCAATCGCTCACCCACCTGTGAGGATTTTAAATCCGAAATGATAGAAAAGAACCACTTAAAACTTCGTAAATCATCAAAAGCTGTGAGGAGGGACAGAAGTCGGACAGGGAAAATGTCTTAAGTGGAGCGAGAAGAACCGGAACCACCGAAACCGGATCGATAGCGCGATTATCGGTGCACAAGCCCAACTAGGTGCTGATAACGAACGGATCGGACAGGATTTCGACTGCTGTTTCGACATACTTTCGGCAAACGTCCATGGCGATAGAGCAAGTGCACTGATGACGACGACGACAGCGAAAGACACGACTGATTCTGCACTGAAAGCACAAGCGCTTCCCATTTCACTGGCGTCCAGCTACCAGCTTAATTAACGCATTTCAAGCCATTCGCCATGGATGGAACAGACCGAGAACGAGATGCATGAGAAAGGCGAAACA